CCCTCACCCGCCGCCCGCACCGCAGTTTGGGGGCGCAAGGGGCGCCGTCGGGGCTGTGTCCCCGTCCCCGTCCCCAGGGAGCAGCACCGCGGAGCCACCGCGCCGCTTCCCGTTGGGTTTGCCCGGACACGCGGGCCGGGGTCCCCCTCGACGGGGGTTGAACCCCCTAAACACCCCAAGAGCAGCAGGATCCGCCTGCGGCCCCGGAGGCATCCCGGGTGCTCGCGCGCCCCTCGGATCCGCCCCGGCGATTCCTGGGGATCCCCTTAGATCCCTATGGATAGATACCCTTAGATCCCTGTGGATCTCCTTGGATCCACCTTGGCCCTGTAGGTCCCCACAGATCCCTGTGGATCCCCTTGGATCCACCTCAGCCCTTTGGATCCCTGCGGATCCCCTTGGGTCTGCATCGGCCCTGTGGATCCGTGCGGATCCACCTCAGCCGTGCAGATCCCTGTGGATCCCCTCGGATCCCTAGGGGTCCCCTTGGATCTGCCTAGGCCCTGCAGATCCCCGTGGATCCGCTCGGATCCCTGTGGATCCCCTCCAATCCGCCTTGACCCTGCAGATCTCCGTGGATCCCTTTGGATCCCTATGGTTCCCTTTGGATCCTCCTTGGCCCGGCAGATCCCTGTGGATCCCCTTGGATCCCTATGGTTCCCTTTGGATCCTCCTTGGCCCTGCAGATCCCCGTGGATCCGCTCGGATCCCTGCGGTCCCCTCCAATCCGCCTTGACCCTGCAGATCCCTGTGGTTCCCTTTGGATCCCCTCGGATCCTCCTGGGCCCTGCACATCCCTGTGGATCCCCCCGGGGCCGCAGCCCCTTCCCGCTGGGATCACGACGCTCCATGCGCTTCCCGGAGGCGGCAGGGCCGGGGGGACCCGGCAGAGCGAGCGGCCCCCCAACCACAGCCCCAAAACGGGCTCTTTTGGCCCCAAAGGGCGCGCGGGCGGCGGCGGGGCCCGCGGCGGCTCCGTCCCCGCGTGCCCGCCCCGTGTCCGGCTCCGGC